GTTTTCATCAACGAGGAAAATAATTGTGAAGATGTCAATGAGGTTTGGTGAACTTGTTTTGTATTATTTCTTAATCGAAGCGCCGAATTATTTTTTTGAAGAGAAAGGTTATCAGCTGAAGAAGAAGCAATCTGCTGCTGCAACTGCCTTTTCGATTTAAATCGTGGAGAACGACGTAGTGGTGGTTGTGGTGAATTGCTATTATTTGTGTTGTTATTCGCGTCCGGTGAATGTGCTGCTTGTGTTAAATATGCATGCTCGACAGTGGAACGCCTACGCAGCCGTGCAGTTGCTTTACTGAAAATATTTGATATATAAGTATACAATATTGTCCAGTAATATATCATAAAATAGGAGGGTGTCGTTGAGGACGACGTGGTGAGACACTCTGATAAATTATTCTTGCTATTGACGCTACTGTCACCAATTACTGTTGCATTCGATGACGACGCCGATGTCGAAGCGGCAGAGGGCGGTGAGAAACTCTCTTGAGAAACAAGAGATGAAGACGAAGTGGGTGCTAGCATGCTAGCATTGGCTATTTTAGAATCGTATTTGCCGTGTTATATCAAAAAAATGTAAAGATCGCTTTATACAGTACAAACTATTTTACTCAAGTCTATTTTATTATTTATATTTCTACTCCAAGGTATGGTACAATACAAAATGTAAGAACATACATACAATAATCCCTTTGTATCGGCAAACTATTGCGAGAAGAGACGAAAAAACTAAATGAATGAGTTGAATGCTGTATTAGCAATTATAAATTCGGGTCAGTTGACTTGGACGATGTATACATATTTGTCCAAGCCACTAACAAAACTTTAATTCAGTATCATGTGATTATTAACAAATGCGTTTTCGAAAACTACATACGTATACGTACGTACAAAAAAATATCTGATATCAGATATCTGATATATTTCTAAATGCATACACGATATATTTCTCTAATAAACGCATACGTACTCCATAATTCACCATACAATGCTAATTAGTTGTTAACTATTATTTCAGTGGACCACAAACCCCAGTTTACTACGTATACAGTCGACTCTGGATATACCGAACTGCATATTCTGGATAAGTGTTATATGGGATCTTTGCTAGGATTTTTTTTTTCTAAAAATAGATTTATTATGTTTTTCTTAATAAAAATCCTGTGTAACACTCGTAAGGTCATTTTGCTAGCAAAGATCCCATATAATTCATTCTTTTTATACCGAACTGTTCGGTATAAAGCTAGCCAATAAAATCTCTCAAGTTTAATTTACTTCGGAAATTTCGGAATTTTACTTGAAATTTTTCCTCGTTCTTTATGTTCATTTTCTTTTCAGAATATTTCGGAACACATTACTTCGTATACATGCATATCCGTGACATTACATAATAGCTCACTATATCGAAATATGTATACGTAATCTTGGGCTGGTAAAGGTGAGTTACTATTTAAGTTCGGTATAGCCAGCCTAATTTATTATAAAAAATCCGTTCTTCCAAATCTGGTTCATTATAGCCCGATTCTGGTATAAACAGGTTCAGAATTATCCAGGGTTGACTGTACGTAAAAATTTTTTACCCGGAAGTTGATATACAGTAATAATCAGTCTGATTTTTTTGTTACCGTGTACTATTTTGTCTAACGTATTTATTGTACACCGATTGGGAATCAATAAATTTCAAGCATTTAATTTATTGTCCGGAGCGTAACGGAAGACTCGGAGAGAATCATGATAGTTGTAATTAGACTGTCAACTGACTGACGATGTCCTTAAATATAATTATACTTTTACCGATCAAAAGAACCGCCTAAAATTTTTCTAATCGTTTAACCATTTAACTGTTTAATCTAAATAATTTTGGCTCACAATTAATTATATTGTAAAAATTTACAATAAATAATACAAT